CGTGCACGCGGGCCCCTTATATAGCGGCGGCCGGCCGAAGATCGGCGAAAATTTCCGAACTTCACCGATTCCATTAAGAGTTACTTTTCCGCTGTATTAACTAATAATTTATTAACTTTCTTGACTTTTATCGTTAATATACGTTGCAAACTATTTGTTATCAATGATTTTAATTTGTTATTAACAATAAATTTATTAATTTATTAACTTTTTGTAAGTTACGAATACATTTTAACACAATTACGTTGTTTGTTTAAGTAGTAGCTAATAATTTATTAACTTTTTTTACTTTCATTGTTAATATACGTTGCAAAATATTTGTTATTAACAATAAATGTAGTAATTTATTATCTTTTTGCTAATTATACATACATTTTCACGCGAATACGTTGTATATACTAGTAATAGCCTATAATTCAGTAATTTCTCCACTTTTATTATAAATTTACGTTGTGGAAAATTTGTTATTAACGATATTAACTTGTTATTAATAATAAATTTAATTATTTATACATTTCTTATAACTGGATTCCTACTTCCATAGGATAAATTTCCACGATACCTGTATGCAATCGATATGTTACCATTGCCTACCTAGTTTCAACTCGTGAGGTAACAATGAACTTTCTAGCACTTTTACTTTTTACGTAATTTTTATTAAAAATCTTTCCTCTGTAGAAAAACCAGCATTTCCCGGAAACTGAGAGCGATATCGCAGTTTCGATTACGGATTCGCGTCCTGGAAAGTAAACTCTGCAAGAATCACCTAATGGATATTACATATTATGGGAAAAGTTAAAATTTGTTGGACACCGTAATCCTGGCACGATCGCGTTTATTATTCCGCTTGACTCCGGTGTTTTGTATAAAAATCCCGCAACGTTCGGGCGATATTTTTCTTTACATCGTAAACGATCGTAATGGGTCCAGGTTGTCCGCGTTTTCGAGACTACCCCTGGGTTACATCGCGGTTGTTGTTAGTTATTACGCGCCGAGCCTAAAAATACAGGAGCAACGTGCTCATTCGAACCGGAGCTGGTTCGAGTATTCGATAAAAAAAAGTGCCGAGATGTAATTTCGTCGCGTATTAAAAGCAAAAACATTTACAGACCGCAGATGCGGATCATGTTCTCATTTAATGGGGAAACAAATTTCATAAATTATTCGCGCAGCGTGGCGCAGTGCGCAATAATTGCGATCCAAGTACAGCGAAGCAGGAATTCCCTGTAATTAAATTATCCACCGTAACCGATCCAAATACCCCAGCATCGAATACCTTGAACCGTACCCCGGACACCGTATCGGGACCATTAAAATCCGCGGGAAATCCGTGAAAAATCCGTGAAAAATACGTTTTCGATCCCCGTCGTTACCCTGCAGCACGGTCGATGAACTTTTCTTGTTTTCCCGTGGCCGGAGCACGGACACGAATAGCGTGGGTCCCAAGTGGACAGGGCGATGGTTCGATGGTGCACGCGCGACTCCTTGGAACGTGCCCTCGTTTCTCTTGCCGTGGCAAAGCCATTAATTTGCCGGTAACGAAGCGCGGGCATCGGTGAAGAGGGCTGCTGCATCGAGGTCGGACGAACGAGTCGAAGGTAGGCGTACAGAGAACGCTCCCAGGAGCGGCATCAATCCCAATTGCGTACCCACGAAAAGCGCTTTCGTGACTGTCCGCGCGTGTACGCTCCGCGAGACGATAAATAATACACGCGCGGATGGTTATTATTCCCGCGGTGGCATTTTCTCGCGGCCATCGGCATCGCGGCCCACCGATCATACGCGCCCCCTCCGAAAGGCCCGACCGTCCTAAAACGAGGGTCGAAAGAGCCGTCTGCCATTTCCTTCGCGCGGGTACCTTCCATTTACCTCGAAATAAAAGAATCTATTTCGCCCGGTGATTCGACCGAACGAGCGTCTCGACCCCGAATTTTCTATCATCGTCCGCGATGGTTGCCTGCTGATCCTCTTCGTCGGCAGGATCGGTAGATCTCGACTCGGTGAAGATCGCGTATAGTAATCTGCGTTAGTAATAAAATAATTAGAAATTCGAAGTATCGGAAGAAGATAAATCTGTCAAATGTGCAATATAACTCTAGCATACCTGCGACGAAGATTCTATGGACGAGTTGTCCCGCGTTTCGAAAAGCCGTGCAAAATATTCCCTCGCGCTCCTACAGGCTCATCCTCACCATTCCTCCAGCAGTTGATTCATCGAGACCATCGGGAGATCTCGACTCGATGAAGATCCCGCATCTTAATCTGCAATAGTAACAAATTAATAGAAAATTCGAAGCATCGGGAAAATATAAATTTGTCAAAAGACCGACATAGCGCTCTGGTATCATCTGCGACGGTGATTCTATAAACAACCTGTCCAGCGTTTCGAAAAGCCGTACAAAATATTCTCTTGCCATTCCTCGAGCAATTTGTACATCGGGACCATCGGAAGATCTCGACTCGATGAAGATCCCGCATCTTAATCTGCAATAATAACGAATTAATAGAAAATTTGAAGCGTTGGAAGTAGATAAATTTGTCAAACGACCGAGATAACGCTCCGGTATTATCTCCGACGGAGTTTCTCTATCGTTTCTTTGTTTGTTCGCAGGTGTTCGACAAGCACAACCGGGGGTACATCACCGCGTCCGACCTGAGAGCCGTGCTGCAGTGCCTCGGCGAGGACTTGTCCGAGGAAGAGAGTACGTATTTGTCACGGTTGTGTACCTTCGAGACTTGGATGGCGTGACGCGTGTCGCCGAAGTCATCTCGAGAATCTCTCCTTTTGTACGAGGCAAACAAACCGGGGTCGCGAATAAATAGATCGGGCAGATAGAGAGGGAGAAAGTAAGATCTAGCGAGAGTAAATGATAATAAATATAGCAGCGATGCCGGAGGGTCGTTGAATGGAACTTGACGGGGAAAATGGCGTGACCCGGAGCACGCTGGGGAATGTTCATAGCGGAAACGAAAAGATCGAAGAGGTGCCATTGAAATATGCGGTATTCGATTCAAAGGACTCGGGTACCCCCGTGGATCGAGAGCTCCAAGCCATGCCTCGGGAAACACGAGGATTGATTTATCGCGAGGGTAACCGTTCCGCACTTTTTTATTCGCCTAATGCTTAAAACATCCAAGTTTTAGTACTTCCACATCAACTTTCCGGACTTTCTGGAACTCGAAGAATATCCATTCACATCTTCCAGTCTGTTTACGGTGCACCCGTGGTACCCCGAAACATCCGTGTATAGTTTCTGCCAAGGGATTATAACGCAAAGAAATAACAGCCAGTGGAAACGGTGGAGAAATTGTATAGATGTTTATTAAACGAGCGAACGGCTCGAACTGGCCTGTCTGTTTAGGGCCACGCAGGTGAAAGACGTCTCCAGAAAACGGGAGACAAAAGGCGAAACGCGGGGGAATGGATCACAGCCACATCGCTGTGATGTCGAGTTTATTTTGGTATTTGGTTTATTAGTTTCGTCGAAATTTCCACGAATCGCCGCGAATTTGCACGGAACGTGTCCGCTCGCGAGGCAGAGGCACGAGTAGTATACACGGTCTATAGTCGGACGAGGAATTTTATTAACTTTGTTCCGAGAACGCGAAGTACTCCAACTACTTTTAATTCGCGCGGAATCGCCGTTGAAAGTTTGCGTTATTTTAATTCGAACCGTTCCACAGGCGCCGACGAGATTTATCGTTAATCGCGTTTAATTGGTTCCGAATTCCTCGAGCAAGCCGAAGATATCGCTCGGCCGTTTGCAAACTCGCGCGAACAACCCGGACAGGAAAGAAGCTTCGCGGAGAGATTTCACTCGATAGCAATTCCCCGTTTGTCTTTCCTCCCCGCGACAAATCGATTCCAATCTCGCGTCGTGGACGCGCTGCTTAAAACGCGCGAACGAGGATCCAGCGAGGAGGATCCGTCGCGGCGGATTTCCGATGGAAAGTTTCGCGAACGCGTCGTCGCGACGGAATCGTTTCGCCACGCTAAAATCTCTCGAGTTATTCCCGCGGATTTCCATCCAACTTCCGCTATTCCGTGTCCAAATCTCGCGGAATTTTTGCACGGAGCAGCCGGGCAGAGGCCGCGGCGAGAAAAATGAGCTCGTTTCGGGGAAGCAACGTTCGGTAATCCCGATATTATTCCGAGAAATGGAAAGCCCGAGAAAACAAGCGGGCGAAGATGGGAAAACGAAAACACGAGGCGGCTGTTAGCCCGAAACGGAACGAAATTCCGTTCGTGCAAGCGTTTGTTCCCATTGTTCACGTTCCCCGCTGTTATCTCGCGGGATTAGCCGACTCGCGCGACCTCTAATTTTATTTGACACTCGCGAGTTCGGCGCGACGATTCTTTCGTTCCGAAGAGAAGCGGGAATCCTTTGTCCCGTGCCCCGGAGATTTCGTTGCAATTCCTCGAGGTCGCGTGAATAAATAAAGTCGCAGCTCGGCCGAGACTCTCCTTATTTCCCAGATTTTTCGCGATTTGCAGTCAACGTCGCGACCCGTTCTTTCGACCGGTCGCGGAAGATCGAGATTCTCGTGATCCGAGACAAAATAGGCGAAAGATTTCTCGGCGAACAATGGCGGATGAAACGACTTCCGTTTCATTCCACGACGAGGAAAAAATAGACGAAACGTGGACGAGATATTTTCGCGAACCTTTGATCGAAACGTCGCTAAAATAATAAAACGCGAGCATGAACGAAGAAAATACTGTCAGACGGTTCGTCTCGACTGAAGAAACCGAGCCGCAACCGCAACCGGATACTACATCGCGCGCTGTCAAGCCGGAATTAATTTTTTATCCATATTCAACGCGAGGATTTTCTCATTTTTTAACCGCTCACCTGCAGCATTGGTTTAAAATTTCCCGAGAGAGGCGATATTTTTCTCCGCTCGGCGTTACAACCACGAACCCGGCCGTATGAAGCTGGTAACAAACTTAACCCGGCAGCCCGGGCAGGGAAACAACGGTGGCCGCGCAAAAACAACCAAACTATCCGCCAACCCTGTACCCTGCAGCCTTGCGAAAGTTCCACGTGGAACAATCAAGAAGCATCTCCCGCAAATTTGTCCAGGGGATGCGTTAATAGCGCGAGCGATCCTGCGAGACGGTAAATTGCGCGCGCGTTCCCTCTCCATTCAGCTCCATCTATATCGGCCAATGTAATAATCCGTCCGATATATGGGATGAGGTTACTAATTGACCGGAATCAATTTGCGCTGTGCACGTATTTCTGTGTACGTATTAATAATTGCCGTAGGCCATGAAGCCGATTACGGTAATGGCTATGCCCTTCGAGAAAATTGTCCATTGTATAATTCAGTAGCCGTTATGGTCGTGGCAAAAGTGCAACGAGCAGTCAAGAAGAAACCAGATATATCCCGGATATTTTATATATTATCCCGGGGTCCACTCGAGATCGATTCCCTTGATCGTCGTTACTTATTAAAAGGGGTTAGGATCAACCATTTCCGGCGACGGCGGCAATCGGACGGAAACAACTCGCGTCACTGGGAACTCGTATCGGGTAGCTGGGATCGCTTTCTCCCGACGTCTTTCGGCAATCCATAGCCGTGATCGTGATTAGATTCGAAGGGGATTAGAGGGTACGAGGGGACGGCGTTAATCGTTCGCGGAGGATCACGAGACCTCGCGATAGAGCAACGGCTGCATTCGTTCGGATTCAGCGACTGTAATTGAAATTAACAGCGGGATAATTGCTGGGGTTGTACCTGGTCGTTTAACGTTTTGTCCGAGAGGGGGGAGGAGTGAAAAAGTTGGGGGATCGAGATTAATCCCCGCGAGACTTATCTTTTATGTAAAGAGTCTCGCGGAAAGGTGTCGCGTGAGAAAAATTAGACGGAACGGTAAATGAAATGGTACGAACGATGAAACGAGTGGTTAACGCGAAAATTTCAGGGAATTTCAGGGAATAATCGATGGGACAACGAAACGGGATTAAAGCGTAAAATTCGCGTGACAGTGGCGCCACGTTCGACCACGAAAACGGTCGTTTCCCAGTTTTTCGCGTATTACAGGCGTATCGAGAGGCAAAGCGGATACATTATCGAGGTGTTTTCCGCGCGGCAAGGGAGCAGGCCGGAATATTAATCGCGCGGCGCGGCGTTTCGCGCGCTAATACTTCGGATTTTACGGAAACGAGAGGTGGAACCGTGCCGGCGAAAAATTAATTTGCCGCGCGCTGGCTGCCCCGTCAATTAGCATACGAACGTCCATGGGTGACTTTAATCAGGCTAAATGCAATATTTGCCGTGTCAGCGAATATCTATGGCGTTAATGCCGGAGTTATTAATTTCAACTTTCCGTCAAACCGGCCGACAATTTAGCGATCGGCCTGGCCGATTCCTGCCGCGCCAACGCTCCCGTGAAATCGCGCGAATGTTCACGCGCGCTGGAAGAGCCGGCGTTGAAATAAAGCAGACGGGAAGAGGGAAACACTGCGAACACGTACACGCTTCTCCCTGTCTATACCGAAGGATTTACCTCGACTATAACTTCAAAACTGTATCGGATACGAGACGTAAGCCGCTTTTCTGTGTTTCAGTCGAGGATATGATCAAGGAAGTGGACGTGGACGGGGATGGCCGGATCGATTTCTACGGTAAGCTCAAGCCCCCATAGGAGTTTCTAATAATCGGAGAGAAATACGCGCGCTCGGACATGGAGCGGCCGAAGCGTGCGTGCCCCCTCGCCTGTCCCGTGTGGTTCGAGGTCGCGATTGATCGACGCGTACCGGTCCAGGGGAAATTCGGGGACGAGAAGACGAGGAAGTATCTCGAAGGGACGGGCCAGAGACAGAGACGAGTGTTCGATCATCGGAGTAAAATCGCAATCGCGACGAAAAATCCCCTCGATTTCACGCCCCCTTTCCACCCTCTCGGGGGTTCGCGTTCTCCTCTCGGGCTTCGACGCATCGCCGGTCCGATCGATGCGACATGCATCGTGGCCACGGGCGATAAACCGAAACGCTTCGGTCGCGATTACCCCCTTTTTCTTATGTTCGCGTTCTCCTCTCGGGCTTCGACGCATCGCCGGTCCGATCGATGCGATCGTGCCGCGCGAATGGGCGGACATGCATCGTGGCCACGGGCGATAAACCGAAACGCTTCGGTCGCGATTACCCCCTTTTTCTTCCGGCGATGGCTTCCGCGTGTTCTTCTCTCCCCATGGACGTTTTTTTTAAACGACGAGGGACGAGAAACGGTCGACTCCTCGCGGCGCTGGGATTCGAAGGAACATCTCGTATGTACGTACGTACGCGGTCCCCCCGTAGTTGGATTAGCGTATCTCCGTGTCCCCTCCAGCGCAAGTGGTAATAGTTCACGTTTATCGAATTTCTGCCGCCGGACCTTGGCACGCATTCCAGGGAATTTATTTTATTTATGGGCGACAGCTGCACGCGAGATACCTTTATACCGACGAATATGCCTTCGAGGCTATTCCGCGGAAGCTAACGCAGAAGTTTCGGAAAGGTAGGTAATTCCGGGGTCAGGTTCGAGGGAGGATTCGGAGTGGAAGTCGAAACGAAGGGTAAACACGTCGGATAAGTCGTCCGCCGGCGAAGGGTCGATATGTAAATCGTATCGGCGGACGTCTATTTATTTTTGCGACGTCTTTACGGACACGCGGTGGTCGGAAATTTCAACGAGGGTCCTCTTTTGTTCCAGAATTCGTGCACGCGCTCGGCGAGCCGGGGATCGACGACGACGAGGAGGACGAGGAAGAGGAGGTGCTGTCCCCGGGCTACTAGGATTTTACCTATTCTCGTGTCTGTGTTAGATAGAACGAATTAACGACGAGCAAACGTCGACGGACGGCCTCGTCCGTCGCGCCTTTTTCCCCTCTGACATTCACACTTCGTTGCATGTACCGCAAGCGTCGCGGTCCTTCGACCCGATGTGCACCGAAACGATTATTATTACTTCGAAACGTCCGATTCTTCTGCTTGCGTCCGCTATGCATCGCGAGCCACGCAACATTCGCACGAGGAAAGCAAACGAAAGGGAAGACGAGGCGAGGCGAATGGGAGATTTCGAATTTCGCGCCGGCGCGGAAGATGGTTGCGTTTCGAACCGCCAGGGCGTGCCACCGTCTCACCCGGTGACCGGCTCACGGCGCCAATTTTCGAACGCGATAACTCGGCCTAGTCGTAAACGCTCGTTATCTTTCGTCAATGTCAGAGGACCTTTTCGACCAGCCCTAATCGCACCTACCGTAAGATCCGTAGATACAACGCCTGGTGTGATTTTATGTTACCCGAATCGAAGCACCCTACATGGGATCGCGCGATCCCCTGCGTTATACAGCAACGAGAATCGACACTGGACAACCGCGAACAAGCCCCGAATTTCCGTTCCCCCGTTTTACTCTCGTACGTCTCGACGTTTCACGATTGTTTCAAAGAAATCTATCTCGATGTATCGTCAGAAACCGCGACGCTGATATTTCCGGACGCCCTCGTAGAGCGAGCAGAATGAACGATGCGGCGCGTAACGCGAACGCGAAAGAAACGGCTCGCGTTTCGTGTAACATAAGGTCCCAGCAAGCAACGCGTCGTCTAACTTCCTTCGTTAACTCAGCTGCAAAGTGTCTACCGATAAATCTTCGCGAGCCAAGCTCGATGGTTCGCGTGACGTGAGACGCGAGAGCTCGGTCAGAGAAATGGAGACACGCGATCGCTGATAAAACGATCCTCCGAATGAACGATCGTGCGATCCTCTTTCGCGAAAAGGGGAGGAACAATCGTGGATTACGCTCGACGAACGCGCACCAGCTCTCTCCGAGTGGACTCGCGTCTCGGACGTCCGATGCAGAGAAAAGCGACCGGCTGGCAAACGATTTCTTCCCGTAAGATATGTGGATTTTTCGATTTTACTCTGTCTCGTCTAATCTAAGTCACGCACTCTATTCTCTAACTACAATTAAGAATTAAGAAGAACCAGCACCGCAATAAACTCGATGGATCGCGTCGAGTCGCGACGCGGTCGGTAACTGACCGGCGAGGCTCGATCGTAACGGCCATTAGACCGTGCTTCCCGCCATTTTGAGGAACGCCGGTGAACACGTGGACGTGACGAGAACTCGCGCTTGCACCTTTTGAAAATCTCTCCACGCGGCGAAGAATCTCGACCGATTTCCCCGACGTTCGGGGACGTCGAGGCCGCGAGAAGGTTGAATTTGTGAATTTTAAATCGATCTTCATCGCTTCGCTCTCCTTGAGCTTCGTACTGTGTACCTTATTAACGATATCTCACTGTTACGCCAAATACAAGAGCCGCACGCTGTTTCAAGTATTTTAAAGGGTCTAATAAATCTACTAAACAAACGTTCTCTTTGTACGTTATTTTTCGACATTCCCTGCCCCGCCGACAAGAATAAAAAAATGAAGAGAAATAAAGAGAAGGAAATAACTTGCGATTATCCGTCTACTAGCTTCTAATCGACGTAATCCGCCTTAACGTAATTCGCGTGGTGACTCGTCCGAAATGGCCGCGCGAGTAACGAGCTTTGCGGCAAATTGGATTGGAACGATGAGAGCAAGGATCAACTAGGCATGCTAATGCTATTTCTAAGAGGAGTATAAATATCGCTCTAAACGGGAGACGATCCCGCTTAAATTTTCTTAAACGTTCATTTTTATTAGCGATAAATAAACTTACATATCTTTACAGTAACAACGTCCTCTCGCAACTCTCGGAAAATATGGTAATATCTATCCGCGAAAATCCATATAGATCGAGACTTCCGTTCTTTCTAATTCACGTGCATTCCTCCCGTAAGTGTTGCTCTGTCTGGTGTTCCGTGTCTAACACGACACGCTTTCGCCTGGCAAACGAACGAACGGGTCGTTAGGACAGATCGGCACGACGCGAAATGCGCACCGGAAGGATCTACGCTGCGGTGTGTGTTTTACATGCGGCCTACGTACGCACGGAGGCTTGCGCTTCCTTTAATAAATCCTAACGATAGCGAGCATACACAGCTGTCGAACATAAACGAAACGAAAACGTAGGACGAGTTCGTTAAGTATCGAGCCGATGTATAATCGTTGGTTCGCGGACCGCCGCGGTGGTTGGCGCGACGATCGCGACGATGGCGGCGAGATCATGGCCACCAGCGTTCGGCTGTTTCGAGTTTCGAGTTCCACTTGCTGTCCGCTTTGACAGCCGACTGGTTTCGCTCGTTGGTCTAACGTAATATATAATGGCTGGAATTATCCTCGTTACGCGAATCCCAGTCCGTTGGGCCGAACGTCTGGCGAACGTGCCTTCCGAAAACGTAACCGGAAACGGTGTCGAGAAGACTCGAAAGCGTCATCTTCTAACTTCTCGCGAATGACTCGATGTTTGTTTCTTCCATTTCTTTCTTCCTTTTCCTTTCTTTTTTTTTTTTTTGCCCATTTTAGTCATTGTTTCCTGTTGATCGACGAAAAAAAGGCTATACAATAGTCGAAAAATATGATCCGCCAATGGTTTCGAACAAGGCGACATACATGATATATATGTATAGATGTACGTATATTTACCAGTTAAGAGGAAAAAGCTTTCGTTTAATGATTCGTATATGTATTTACGTATATATATGTATGTATATATATATATATACCATGTGTCTTCGGTTTACTCGTCAGAGAAACGGTATATGTACACGTATATATTCGCGAATATACGCGGCTAGGCACGTGTTTCGTGTGCGTGCTATCGAAGTACGTGCAATATGGTTGAGAATCTGTCAAAACCTTCACCCCTCAATTGCTCCGATCGCAAACTCCCTACTATTCTTGATTTCGTGCGATAATGGAACGTCCGCGAAAAAACAGATCGAGTTGACAAATACATGGTCGATTGGTCTGCGCGAGTTTTTACGGATCGAACTGGCGCTAATTCCTTTACTTATTTCCCTTGCGTTA